CTTTACGGCGAACATAGCGTCGCGGAATTATAGTCCTAAAAAAATTTTATTTCTTAAGTTTGATGGCAGGTTTTTGGCGGCCTAATTTGCGTATTTTAACCACGGTTCGTTAACTTTTATTGTGACGTTGTGTTATACGTGTATTATTCTTAGGTATTTTGTCACGAAATGTTGACTGGATTACGTTTTATAGAATTTAGGCGTCAAATGCTGATTTACAATTCATTAAAAAAACTATCTTCGCTTAAATTTTTTTTTACTTTCATTTACTTTTTAACACATTTTTGATTTATGTTTTTCAAGGTATTTTAAAAATAGTTCTTGTTTTTTTTTGCGTAACAAAGAGGAGTTTTTGCATGTTTTTCTTGGGACTTACCGAGTTTTCAATCTTAAAAAACAAATGCTGTGGATCTACGCTTTTTTATTAATTTCATTTTTATTCCAAGATATGTCAGCTAGTTATCCATCTCTTAGAGTTATTACTTCTTCCCTAAATCCGGATGTTTCAAAGTCACTAGCCGATTTTCTGACTTTTTGAGCCTTCTCCCCGATTTCCGCTTGTTCATGCACATGTGCGAAACAAAAGCTCATGTCAAAAAATCCTCCAAATTTCGCTCTGTCCAAGGATTAATTGTCTATGCCACCAAAGATCCGGAGCTTTCGAAAACGCCCTCTTGGCCCACACGACCATTATTATGCTTTCCTGGGCCCGGGCCCCTGGCCTCGTTGTGTCCGGACTTTTTGTAGCCTGTCGCCAGGTGATATATGGACCCCAGGCCGGATGCTAGAACATTATGTCGGATCCTGGCCAGGACTAATTTTGAAACGGCGTAGTTTTTGCAATGCCCTTGCTCTTCGTATTTTTCAGACCTTTTCTAAAAAAGTTTGGATGGTTTTCGCTTCTGTTTAGCCCCTTTGCAATGCCAGTTTTGAGGACCAGCCATTTTGAAAATTCGAGAATCGACAGAAATTTTTTGAGTAGATGTCCCCGACACTGTCCTTTCTTTTTGTAATCAAGGATTTAGAGCACGACTTTTTGAACTATTTTTTAGTAATTTTTCCAATTAATTAATGTTAATTACATTAATTATGCATACTTTTCGAACCAGATTCCATGGCACCCTCGATTTCTTTTGAATTTTCGGAAGCCGATCCTAAGACCGAGCAATTTTGTAAATACGGGAAGCAAATGGCCAGGAAAATTTTGTTAAATGGACCCACTATAAAGCATTTTTCATTTATGTAACTATAGATTAAAGTACGTTTTTTGGATTATTTTGAGAAAGCCTTGTCTTTTCCTTTCAGTTCCTTGATCGGAAAATCACATCTGTTTGCCTATGAGTCGATCGAGGCATTTTTTGAGGGATAGGGCAGGGGATCTTCGTTTCGTTCTTGTCTTGGATCTTGTCTTCCTTGACCTCTTGCTTTGCTTCGTAATCCGAAAATTTTTGAAAGTTTTTGGGCTATGAAATTATGCTTAACAAATTTATAAAGTTAGATCCGCTTTGTTTCCATGTATTTTTATTTATTTTTTGTAATTTAAACATCTGAATCTGCCTTTGAAGCTCCCGAAAATGTTGGACGAAGACGGCGAGGACGACAAGGCACACCTATTTACGAACCCGGTAGCCCTCTCGCATAATGATTTGCGACCAATCGACGCGGCGTCCCGTCGAAATTCCGAATCCACGCGGTCGATGGTCAAGAGCGTGTCGAACATGTTCAGGCCGACGGCTGAGTAAGTTATAATGACAGATCTTCTGCCTTGGATCACACTTTTTCATATCACTATTTGTATAACGATTTATTGCATAAAATTTTCTGGCAAGTTGAAAGATATTTTAAAAAAATCTATTTAACAAGGATTTTTTTGATGGTTTGAATCTTAATTGCATTGAAATTTAAAATTTTCCAAATTTAAACGCATTTAAAATATTAAAATATATATTTAGCATATATTTTTTGTTTTTCGTATTTTTGTATTTTTATCCTTTTCCTGTTTAAGTTATTAGAGGAAAAGCAAGAAATAACGTTTATTACACTCTTAAAAATCAAAAATATTAGTTTTATTGAGCTTTTCCACTTTGATCGCATTGAAATTGGCCCTATCCATCTTCCCCGCGAAAAGTAAGTCTAAATAATTCTTAGGTAATTTAAGCTTTCTTAAGTTAGGTTTAAATCAACTATTATCGCATTGCAAGTTAAATAACATTAAAATTTCAACCCCATCACCCGCGGTAAACCTTGATATGACTCAAGAAAAGGGGTAGCAGCCAGCTGGGGCCGCCGTGGACAAGCGGATTTTGCGGGGCCAAATTTTCACGAAAAGAGAGCAGGAAAGAGACGCAAAGAAGCAGAGAAACGGGCAGAAAAAGCCGAGGAAATGGCCCAAGAGTCCAAGTGCAGACAACTGGGCCGGTGGCCCACTTTTGTGTGTGTGAGACCCTAGCGTCTCTGATTCATTGGACAAATAGTGCGCTTGAGATTGGGCTGTTATCGCAAAAAAAACTACTTACTGTGAATTCAATGTAATTACTATATTGCTACCGTAATGCCTGAGCCGCGCTACGAACCACTACCGAAATTTACGTCGGTGTTTGTGGATCGTCACGGAAAATTTGTGCGCAGAAAATCGGTGCCGGAAAATGCGTGAGTTTATAAAGACAATTTAAGGTATCACTTGAAACTTCTTTGGTCGCGATATTTCTCTTTCTCTCTCTCTCTCTCTCTCTCTCTCTCTCTCTCTCTCTCTACCTCGAAGATTGCAAATTTTGACCTAGATGCCCATGACGGCAGTACCTGGTCAGCCCTTTGGCACCCCACCCCTCATGACCCTCTCTCCGCGCCCACATCCCCATGCAGCGATGTCCGAGTGGTTAAGGAGATTGACTCGAAATCAATTGGGCTCTGCCCGCGTAGGTTCGAATCCTGCTCGCTGCGAACTTTTTGCTTTTTGCGGATGTGTGGCGGAAATCATTAGCCTGGACTTTTTAGGGGCGGATTTGCCGTTTTACAGCACTTTTTTGTAGTAAAAAGCCTGTCTAAGCGCTCTGTTCTTTTCAGGCCCGCTAGTTAGCGATTCTACGGGTTTCCAACATCCTATTTTGTAGTTTTTGGGGCTACCACTGAGGATTTACTCTTTTACTTTACTAAACAAGGTTGTGGAACTTTACGTAGCTTATTACATCTTGTGCGTTGCCATTAATCACTCACTCAACCCATTCGAAAAACACCAGACTCTAGTGAAAGGCTGACAATCCATTGAGAATGGGGCGGAACAGTTGACTCCCTGCCTTGTCCCTGCAAAAAGCGGATCATGGAACTCTCGGCCTGGCCTGGAACAGGGGCTGCTCTGATTTTCAGGGCAAAAAGCAAAAACAAGAACTCAGCGGGTCGGCGGGGCCCATCCCCAATGCATGGTGGTGCCCTCAGGTGCGAACGGCTTTTTTCTGGAGCCGATTTTGAGCGCATTCAGTCGAGTTTGAGGTCTTAACACGAACGATACTCGCATTCTGAATTTCTACCGGGTTCTTGAAGCGCTAGCTCAATTTCGAAACCCGCCGGAAGCTGATATTGCACTAGGAGCTACATTTACTATCCATTTCTCGATTCTAAGAATTTCTGAAGCGGAAGTGGTCAGAGTTCTGACGTGATCAAAGCTATACCTTAATTTCCGGTTTCTATACCACGAAAGACTACGAACCACGCAAATAAACGCAGCTGTTTAGAGGAGCTATTCCTTATTCATACAGTTTCGGGCGCTGGAGCTTAAAAAACTTTAGCTACTTCATCGACTTGAGCTTTTAAAGCAGCTGATCTGGATTATTTGCGCTATTTTTGAAAGTCAAGCTTCAAAAAGCGAAGCCGGCTTCGTTTCCTTGTCTTCGACTTTGACCTAACAAGGAGTCGCTTTTAGGTGCTTTTGGAGTTTCGGGACGGGACCAGCAGTTCGATAGAGAAAAATTCTGAGCAACATCCCATTTTCAAAAGTGCGACGATAAAAGTGTTTTAGAAAATTTAATTTAAAGTTCGCGCTTTTTTCTAGTTTTCGGGTCCATTTCCTCGGTGCACGTCGTTTTCGGGGCTGGGCAGGGCACCATTCGTAACCCCCCGCCAATGTCTCCATCACAGGTTGCATTGGCGTAATGGTGGCGCTTGCCTACCAACTTTAACATTTTGCCTCGGGTTCGAATCTTCGCGCTCGCTAACCCTTTGCTTTTTGGTTCTTGAGCCCGTGTGCGGTGCATAAAATTTTAATTAGCAAAAAAGCAAAGAGTTAACGATAAATAAGAATCGAACTTGTGGCAAAAGGTAAAAAAAAATTCGTAGGCCATCGCACTAGCCACTTGGCCATGCCTAGGACGGGATCCAAGGCGCGTGGAGTCCTCATGTGGCAAGGGAGATCGACCGCCGCAAATAACCTCAAATCACCACAAGGGTCCGGACACCGGGAACATTTTTAATTAAATTAAATTTTCCAAAACAGCTTTATCGATCAGCACTTTTTGAAAACGGGATGTTGCTCAAATTTTTTTTCTCTATCGAACTAGCTAGGTCCCGTCCCGAAACTCCAAAAGCACCTAAAAACGACTCCTTGTAAGTAATCGGAAAAACATTCCTTTACTTCCAATTGCCGATTCTCACGTCAAGCTTAAATTCGGAATCCAGAAGTCCTATTTGACTTCCGGTTTTTACTACTATTTTTTACACATCATATTACTCATCCTTCCCCTCTAAAAATTACTTCATTTGACGTACAACCCGAAAAAACAGCGTCATTCATCCCCTTTTACCCTATTTTGGCCATTTGACACTACGCCACGCTACTCGGGAGACGAATTCTAATTACCCACAACTCCGCTCGGCGCGCCGAGAGCACAAAGACTACCCCCACCGACGTATTTTTACTCAAGGATCACCAGCTCGTTTTCTAATTATTTTCGGGTCGGCCCCCATCTGAGCTGGGCCCTATATAAGGTCGAAAAACTCGCTATTAGACGATGCTAAAGAAGATGCAGCTTTACAAGTCTATTACGTCTTTGACGCGGACTTTCACGCCGTTGAGCGACGATGACGAGGAGCGGGAGCGGATGGAGCAGTTCTCGCTAGACTTCCTGCTCCCACCACCCGTGCCTCAAGTGCCGTGTTTTAGCAGCATACAGTAAGTGTTAGGGGTTACTTCCAATGTCGAAAAAATTCTTGCATCGAATTTGTGGGTGTTTTAATGATGCAAACTTTAGCATTATGTAATATTGACATTCTGAATTTCGGAATTATGATTTTTGGACATTCTAAATTGCGACGTTTGATTACGACCTTTCAAAATTTTTCCGTACGCCCCTTTAAAATTTTGCCGGTGTTTTTGATTAATGGCAAGATAAGAAGCAAACGCTTTTCAAACATTTAAAAAACACGAAAATTAATTTAGTTAAATTATAATCCCATAAAAAATAAAGTCAGAGGCGCTTCGTTGCATAAAACAGGATCTACTACATTTCAGCTAAATAAAATTTGTAAATTTTGCCGTCGGCTCCTTTTAAAACTAGCCTAACGTTTTGGTAAATCAAACATTAGTGGTAGGATCTATAGGGCAATACCCTATAATGCTACCACTAAGGCTACCTTTTCGCTAAATTAGCCGAACATGTAGTTTCGCCAATTGAAAATTAAATGTTATTGGCTTGATCCCGCTCCATTTAAAAACATGCTTGGCAGTTCTTGCAAATTAAGTATTAACTATGGTCTTCGCAGGGAAGCGGGTTTCTAGGAATTTTCTGACATTATCTCACGCTTTGTTACACTTGCCAAATTTTGTTTTCGACTTTTCCAAAAAGTTCCCTCGATTTGGGGCCCATTCGAAAGCATCTGTCTGATGCTTTTTCTGGCCAATTCCGTATTTATGGCATCCCTCGGAGGGAAACGGAATGACTTTGCACCGCTGCGGGGGATCTCTTTGGGCTTCTCCTTAGCGTTGCTTGAACTTTTGGATATTTACATACGTACTTCTGGCCCATATTCCCGAAATTTCGCTATGAATAGCCAAATGGTACTATGGAAGTTGCAGGAAAGGTGAGTAAAACTTTCGGAATCCGAGTTTCGGACTCCTTTTATCCAGTAAAGCCGTCCAGTTTTTTGTCTTCGACATTTTCTACTTATTTTATTACTGTATATTTAAACTTGACACTTTTTTTATCGTCACATGAAGGTAGTTAAAAAACCAAAATGAGTGGAACTTCTAGGAATACCTACTCCTAGGTTCGATTTTAGTTCGCTCCAAAAAATGCATAAACATGTTATTTTATGAATTTTCCAGGTATATCTAACAGTCCCAGTATTTCTCTTGTATTTTAATAAAGTTAGTACGAAGTAAAAAAGCAACCTAAATCCATCCGAATAACTCTGCAAACATTCCCGAGCACCTTGCCTATTCTGTCTATTCTTGGGAATCGATAAGGGGCCAGTCTTGACCCTGCCCTTTCTGCTTCTTTTATCACGGAATATTTGGACACACGCCATTTCCTGAAAGCTGGCATTTTCTAAACTAATTTTCTCGTTTTTAGTGCAAGATCGTATCTGAAAACAATTTCTAAAATTACATAAAAAAAACATGCAAGAGCCTAGCATCCATTTTTTGCTGTCTTATGCCCGACAAGCCGTTGCTTGGCTGCCATTTTTACGATTCGAATATTCGCTTTTCTAGTCCTATTTTCTACGCTGAATCTGAATTCTGGAAGGCTGACGCTGCAAAACTACGAATATTCATATACCCATGACGTTTTTGAGGTAAAATCTGTAATTTTTGAAAAGTTTGATAGCTTAGGCTTAAAATTAAAAACCGAACCCAAAAATTCTGAAGAATCAAAACTCCCCAGTTCTTTTAAAGCAACATTAAAAATTAAAAAATTTCCTTTGGAAATCCAGCTGTTTTTTTACAATTCCATCCCATTCCCTTCCATTCCACCAGGCTCCTCTTTCCGTTTTCGGGGCGGTGGGTGGAAATTCACTGGCGCCGTCGGCGGGGAATTGGTGAGAGCGAGTGAGGGTTCGTCTTTTTGTGGTAAAGCCTCCCCATGGGGTTTTTGGCCCATTGCCAATACCCTCCTCCCCGAGGCCCACCAGTCTCTTCGTAATTGCTCTTAAGCTAGAAGCCTTCAAAAAACAAGGGCGTTTGGGCTTTGGAAGATTACGTCATTTGGGACGGACCCACTTTCTTAAGCTTCTCGTTTTAAGCGGATTTTTGCTCCTTTGGGTGCTTTTTAAACTTTGTTTCTAAATTTAACATACTTTTTACTAATTTTTTAATTTTACAAAGAGGCAAAGGGGCGCCTTTAAGGGGTGGGGAAGGCGAAGCCACAAGGATTCCAGAGCTTGAAAATCCATAGCGGCGTTTTGCTAGTGTCTTTAAGCTTGTTTAATTTCTTAAATCAATTTTTGTATGATTTTTAAGGCTTTTTCAAACTTAAAAGTATCGTACGCAGGTACTTGCCACGTTCCAAAAAGCATATTAAAAACTGAAACTCTGGCGCAAAACTCCCTCTCTCTCTCACTCTCTCTCTCTCTCTCACTCTGGAAAGTTGTCTATCTGACCTTCTTCACCACCCTAAAAACATGATTTTCCAAGCCCAAGCCTCGTACTCCGTTTCCCAGGATTCTAATTTTTTTCGTTTTGTTGAAAAATAACCTCCTCCATAGCTTCATCCTCCCCAGGCCGTCTTTTTCTTTGCTGCAAATGAAGCCAATCTGATTCTACGCGGCCGCCGGGTCTCCTCCGAATTGGCCCCCCTCCCAACAACGATCTCGCTCTAACAAGGAGATGGAGCAACAACCCTCATGCTACCCCATCGAGTATACGTTTCTCAGGACGAGGTACTGACTAATAGCCCACTACTACTTGTACTATAAAATCTATGATGGCGTATTACATCCGGAATCCGGCAATAACTCCATATCCGATAGAACCGATAAGATTGCATGAGGAGCCGAGGTATTGCAATTACCCCGCGAGACTGTGACAATGTGACAAATTTCGGGTTATCAATGTAGTTCTAGCTGTATTTCTATTCACATTTTTTAGATATATCTTTTCTTGAATTTCCAGGTTTTTTGAATTCTTGCAAACAGTACTCTTCCGTAGCGTAGCGGAATTTTTTTTACTTTGTCTGGATAAGAATGCCTTTAAAGGGAATGTGACAAGGAAAGTTTACTTGGAATTTTTGCACTCAAGGTTAATGATTACGTGGACGCTTTGGCCGCTAGTAGAGATTTTTAAAAAAATTTTGAGACTACGGGAATACTGTAGCAGATGGGCTTTCTGAAAATTTCTCCTCTTCTCTCTCTCTCTCTCGCTCTCTCTCTGTCTCTCCCCCTCTCGTTCTCTCTCACACTCCCTCACGCGATTACTCTCCCTCCCTTCAGCCCCTCTCTCTGCCTATCTCTCTCTCTCTCTCTTTCTCTCTCTTTCTCTGTCTGGCCCTCTCCCGCTTTTCTTTCTCCCAAGCCCGATGACCTTCAATTAGGATTTATTTTAATATTATGAATTACATAATAGGTTACTAGACCAGAACCTCTAAAGATCCTCAACTTTGCCTTTTTTCTCCATTTCTCCACCTCGTTTTTCTCTTCCGGAACCAGACAAAAAACTTCAAAGACAGCCGATTGTTGCTCCGTCAAGCGGTACTAACCAGCTTCTCCCCCCCCCCCACCCTCAAGAAAGGTTTCCCTCTTGCCCAACATCCATATTTTTCCACATCCAAAAGAAGCCCCGTGGGACCCCAGCAAATCCCCTGATTCCTCTTCACACACTCCCAAATCCCGGCTAGAATCCCGAAAATTTGCCACAATACTCTCAACAAGATGAATTTGCGCTTCTAAAACGGCTACGACAAGCATTCTAAATTTTAATTTCATGCTCCAACGAATTGATGGAGCACGAGAAAGGCTATAATTAAGTTCTACGTTTCTTGTGGCCTTAAAACGGCCACAGAAATTCCTCCAAAACCATGGATTTGAATGCTAACGCTGCACCGGAGGATGTTGTGTAAATTTTTGGCATTTTCGCTAGCATTATGAACCTGATTTAAAGTGTTACCTTGTGAAGGAAATTGATTATATTAAAAACGACGGATTTTGCCTACAAAAGGTAGTAAATTAGCAATCGGCAAATGCAGAGTTTTTGTATTTATTTTTAGAATGTAGTTAGTTTACTGAAATAGACGCGCAAAAATATAAAGTATGACAGGCTAGAATTCATAAAATTTCAAGTTTGTCACAAAACGAATTTTTAAAATGCGCAAAAATATAAAGCGTGTGCTTAATTTACATAAAAAATGGTTGCAAACAAACGGGTCAACCCGAAAAATTTGGTAAGCTTAATTTAAAATCTGCGGACTTTGAAACACAAGTTGATTTCCTATTTTCAGAGCCCGCATGCAATATGGGGTGGAGACGAGCTTCAAGTCGCGGTTGCAGCAGTACTTTATCGAAAATCACACCTCAAGTAAGCACAGATTTCGTCGTATTTACGTCTTAGGGCACGTTCAGGGAGGTTTTGGAAAGAAGTTTTGCCGCGGCCGGGGTCGAACCCGGGCCCTCCGCTCGGGAGGGTGGATGCACCATCAGCCACAGCACAACCTGGCGAGGGATGAGGGCGCCCCAGGCCGCAAAGGAGGAATGCCTGCCACGCCACGGGGGCGTGCGCGACCCTACGTCTATAGGGTTCACGTAGACGTAACGGCCCCTCCCGGAACGTGCTCTTTAAAGGGACGGTGACGCCTTCTAAAACCCCTTTTTCAGGCCTGCGCATTAGGATATTCAATTTCTTCATCAAAGTGCTATCATGTGTGCTGTATGCGGTTAGGGTTATCGAAGATGACTATCAATTACCCGACTCGGCGAGGATACCATTTTGGGTGCCGAGGGAGAGTCGAGCGTTATGGTAAGTTAATCCGTTAAATGATACCTCAAAACTTTTTCTTTTAGTCGCTACATATTCTGGGTGGACATCTCCTACACGTTGTGGTTGATACAAACTGTTGTCGCTGTGCTCAGCATTGTTGAGACGATATTGATATTTTATATAAGTTATAAGGTGAGAGAGAGCGAGAGAAAGAAGAGAGAGAGAGAGAGAGGGGGGGGGAGAGAGAGGGGGAAAGAGAGAAGGACAGAGAACTCCGTAAACCCTCCTTTTTAGGGCAATGTCTGGCGTCTCCTCCTCAACCGCCACTTCCTCCTCGAAATGGTCACCAGCTTCCCCTTGGTCATCACTATTTTTGTCCCTGAATACCGTATCATGTTCGTCCCAGCTTTCCTGAATTGCTGGCTAGCCAAGAGTGAACTTCAGGCTATGCTGGTAAGTTGAGTGCTAGAGTACAAACTACAACATCAAATCTAGCACGATTTAAATCGGGTCTCGATCGTCAACCAATCAGCATTATCAAGGCAGATGGTGATCTTGTTCTCGACGTTGATATGTCTGCTTTTTACAGGTAATTTTTTGATTGGTTCAGGATTGCGAGTTTAGCTTAGCTTACAAGGGAAGTGCACGACCGGCCCACGAGAACGACCCCCGACACGAGACATAGTGGATCTGATAGAATCGGACACGGAGATTCCGAATCTGTAATCAGAATTTGCTAAATAAAACGGAGAAAAAAGTTATGAAGCTTCAAAGTTGGCCAAATCGCCAAAAACGGTACCTTCAAGGGCCCGTAAAAACCGGGGGGACGGAATTGAGGAGAAAAGAATTAGTGCATCTTGTTCAGCAAAAAAAGCGCTTTCGAATGCGCTATAATACGTAGTATTTGCAAACAATTCACTGAAAAAAGGTTTTTTGGATTCACGGGCAAGGGTATGGCCTGTCAAGTTCATAGAAGAGATTTCCGCGAAATCATTGTAAACTTAAAGTAAGATAGCTCATTCGAAAGCGCTTTTTCTGCTGAACAAGATGCACTAATGGGTTGTGGCAAATTTCCATTCCCTGAGCCTTTACAGGCCCATAAAAGTCCGATTTTGGGCGATTTGGCCAACTTTGAAGCTTCATAACTTTTTTCTCCGTTTTATTTAGCAAATTCTGATTACAGATTCGGAATCTCCGTGTCCGATTCTATCAGATCCACTATGTCTCGTGTCGATTTCTCGTGGGCCGGTCGTACACTTCCCTTGTTAGGCTTAACTTAGGCTTAGACCTAGCTAGGACTTAGCTTAGGCTTAGCTTAGGCTTAGCTTGGGCTTAGCTTATGCTTGGCTTAGGCTTAGGCATAGGTTTAGGCGTCGCCTTTGGCTTTGAATTAAGCTTTGGCTTACCAGAATCAACGCAAAGTATCTTTTCAGGAGCCTGTGGCTTCCAACACCTTCAAAGATGCGGGGAGAGACAATCCGACCTCATCAGAAGTTTCTATTTCACGATGGTCACCTTTTCGACGGTCGGCTATGGAGATATGTGAGTTTTTTAATCTAGCTTCCAAGATTTTCTAAAAAAAAATTCCGATCTAAACGTTATGCTATAATATTCATACTTTTAAGCTACCCCGATACTTGGCTATCCCAACTCCTCGTGATTGGCCTGATCATCCTAATGTTGCTCATGCTACCTCAGCAATTGGAAAAGCTGACCCAGACCTGGTTGGAAAAGGAGCGATCTGGTGGAGATCTGGCGACAGGATGGGGAAATCAGGTACGAAAAGGCGTCGAAAAAAGTTGAAACGGGCTTCATAGGAAACTCATGTAGTCGTGACAGTCACCCACCTTGAAGTCGAGTTCATCAAGGACTTCTTGACCGAGTTTTATGCGCATCCGGAGAACCAGGTCTGTTGGTTTTTCGGCGGTTGCTTGAGTTTTCTCACTTGTTGATCATGATCACCAGCTTATAGTGTATTCAATTACAAGCTTTCCATTTTTAGACAGTTCTTGTCATCCTCCTCTCCCCTTGTGAGCTCGATAACACGATGAGAATGCTGCTAAAAATCCCTCTCTGGGCCCAACGAGTCAAATATGTGCGCGGCAGTGCGTTGAGGGATGAGGATTTGGAAAGGTATGTTATTCAATGGGTTGGATGTGAGGGGCTGGCATGGATAGCTGCCCCGAGAGAGGCATTCCGCGTGCCCCGGTAGCTCAATAGGGAGAGCATCGGACTCGAAAGCCATAGGATGCGGGTTCGACCCCTGCCCGGAGCACTTTTTTTGCGGATTGGACCCGGAGCTAGGCCAGGGCCATGGGACCCCAGAATCCTACTATATATAAAAAAATAGTGTCTGTGTGTGTGTGTGTGCCACTTTGCATGCAACTTCCGTCAGGTTGTTCCAGTAGTATCTTAATAAAGGGAGTAGTTAAAGGCATGTTTGATACGTCATTAGGTGCGTAATGGACTGGGGATGACTGCACGCCAATAAAATTTTGAAAAATTATATGTTTTCGACGTTAAAATTAAGTTTTTGTTGAAAAATCGGCCAGCCTCTTTGTTAGGAAAAAATTAGCATACGCCGGAAGTTGCGGAAGCCTATATAAGGGAAGAGAGGTAGCTTTTCTCATTTTTTGTGATGGAAAATCGCGAGAATTATGCAAAGTGAAGAATATCATGGGTTCAGACAGGGCCAGGGTTGAAATGTCGCGAAGCGGCTTTTCAACCCTGGTTCCCAACTAATGAGGTTATTTACAGGTTTGCCTTATTCCAAGCTTCTAAAAAATTTTTTGACCGTTATCCCTTCTATGAAAAGCTTTCAGGGCCCGTGTCGTCAAGGCCAAGGCTTGCTTCGTCCTGTCGGCGAGGCATGTGCAGAAGAAGATTACTACTGTAGGTTGTTGGAAAATTCTAGATATGGATGTAGCTTATATTTTTTTTTTTCTTTTTTCATTGCTTTTTTATAACTCTATTAAATTCAGGATGAGCACACGATCCTACGCTCCTGGGCGATTAAGGATTTTGCTCCACATGTCCCTCAATACGTCCAGATTTTCCGGCCGGAGACGAAGATGCACTTGAATCATGCTGGTCAGTAAAAAATTTATGTTTTTCGAAACACGGTAACTTTAAAAATCTGTTTTTTTACTTTAAATCGGACGTAAAAATAAGTTTTTTTCCAGAAGTCTGCATCTGCGAGGACGAGCTGAAATACTCATTGCTTGCCAATAATTGTATCTGCCCCGGAATCTCCACTTTCTTAACGTTACTGATGCATACCAGTCGGGGAGAGTAAGAAAAGCTTGTAAAAATCTGGATCTCGAATTTAGGGAAGGCCAAAAATCCACAGAACCCTGGCACAAGGTTTACGGTTTTCATTCTGGCAACGAGATTTACGACATATGCGTGGAGAATTCGAAATTTTTCGGCGATTTCGTCGGGAAGAGCTTTACCTATGCGTCGTTTCATGCCCATCGAGCGTAAGTCAATCTTCAGATACCTTTCCTACTTCCTGAAAAATAGCTTTCATCGTCAGCCGATTTTCGCTAGTTTTGCGCTTTGAGAAGATATTTAGCAAGTTGCAACACTTCCATAAATTAGTTTTAAATTTGAATTTGAATTTTTAACGGAATTATGGTTTTTTTAGGTACGGAATCGGGCTGATCGGAGTCAAAACATCAGACGAGGGAGCTAAAATGAGGCTCAACCCGGGGTTAACCCATATAATCCAACCATCGGATACCGTTTACTACATGGGGCTGACCAACGAAGAATCGTTGTACGACTTCCGGAAAGACTTGAAGAATCAGAGGATGAGGGCCACCCTGGCGAATACCATTGCTAATGTTGGTGAGTGGTAGTTTTAAGGTACGCTACGATACTATCTACTGCGCTTTCTGAATTTTCTATTGATTAAAGCATGGCATGCTAGCGTATATCCTTGGGGAACGGAGGTAAAAAGAGAAAACATCAAAATAAACTTCCAAACATCCCAAAAAAAAACCCGAAAAAGCCCTGTAAAACTGAATAGCCCTGAATAGCGCTGGAATTCCTTAGATTGAGTATCAACTAGTGGTCTACCAATTCGCTAGGCGGTGGCGAGTTAGCAGAGATATTTGGGGCGTGGCCGGCAAAACTCAAAAAAGCTGAACCTCCCCAAATTTCCTCAAGGCGGCATAGCGATCAAAGTGGAGCAGCCGTCATCCGACTCGGAAGTTGACACCACCCAACCCCCATCCGAACACCAATCCACCGTCCATTCCACCATATTCCCCTCATCCACCGTACTCCTCCCCTCGGCCCGTTCCGAATACATACTTCCCACACCCTACGTGGCATCAGCTTTTGAGGCGTATCGCGGGAGATCCGCTAGTAAAAATTTTGAAGATTCGGGTGAAATTCACGATCCCTTTAAAAGTGTGAACTCCTTGAAGCACTGACCCCGACCCAAAAATTTTGTTAATTCAGTTTTTTCTTTCTTCTTCACAAAGTATACTAATTTTTCTAGGTACAGTGGCGATGGACGTTCCTCATTTGGAAGGTGGAAACCACTACGTGAAGAAGGAGAAGAAAAAGAGGCTTGGAATCTTGAAACGAGCAAAGGTAACAGAATCAAAGCTGACTATAAATCAACCAACGTTTCTTCTTGATCTGCTAAATCTTCTAAAAATCGTATTAAAATTCACATTCGAAAATTTCAAATTCTATTAAGTAAACCTTAACTTTTTTAGCACAATGACGAGATGCGCCTCATCGAAGTCCCCAACGAGGACCACACCAGGAGACCCTCAGTTGGAATTGTGGCTGATGTAAGTTATTACTAGACTACTGAGTTTTGTGCTAAATTACTACGTTAATGGTAATGAAAAACATAATAATGTATTTATAAATGAAAGCCTGTACTTTAGATTTTTTATTTTTTCAGGAAAACGAGTCCTCCTCCTCTTCCAACGATGAGGACGAGAATCGTTGTGAGCGCTGCTTGAGCGCCGGGAGGTTGAGGTGTATCCAGACTGAGTTAGTTTTACTTATTAACGACGCCTTATTACCTATTAGGCCTATATAAAAATCTTTAGAACCGAGAAATCCTTCCCAAAACGGAAAACTTACATCGGGGCCAGCCCGACGATTTGCCATGTGCTGAAGAAAAAGAGAGAACTGTGCTGTTTGCAAGTCGATAAGGTAGGATTTTGTTGCAGTTTAAGGTATATTTATGGATTTTACGTTAAAGTATACTTCAAAGTAGAGAAAATCAAGCCAATTTTAGCCCTGCCCCCATTTCCCCTACTCCGGTGCCCACAAGTACAAGTGGCAAAACTCGGCCATCATCCTGGCGGCGGATAAAGTGTCTTCTGGGATGTATAACTTGATTATACCACTGAGGTATTTGTTGATACCTTAAAACTTATGTCTTTAGAGCATACTACCGACCGGTACATGACCTTCGACCGATTGTCGTGTTGATTGAAGCGGAATATGGAGAAGTGCCAGATCCAGCTTTCCTGGATGTGATCTCCTATTTTCCGGATATATACTGGACAACGGGAAGATTATCGAGGTCAGAGAGAGAGAGAGAGAGAGGGAGGGAGAGAGAAGGAGAGTGAGCGATGAAGACATTCCGAATTTTAGCCTCGACACACTGCTCCAAGCCGGCGTCTGCCAGTCCGAAAATGTCGTCGTGGTCCGAGAGACCGCTGTCGTTGGAGAAGAACATCTCGCCGACTCAAATACCATCATTACGGTGCAGAAGATACACTCGTAAGTGATATAGCTCGCCTTATTAACGTGATAAGGACTTCCGAAGCGCAAATGTTTCTCAAGGGTCGGAAAATTGGCTTCAAAGCGGGAGAAAAATCAAAATAAATTCACATGGTTTTGTCAGAATTCAAATTTTGCGTTTTTAAAACCCTATTGCCTCGTTTCAGATGGTTCCCCGCCCTTCGCATCGTCACCGAACTCACCCACACCAGCAACATGCGATTTATGATGTTCAACCCGCACGACCCGTACTCGCTACAACAGAGCAAGTTTGAAAAGGTTTGTCTGATCCCTCATCTACTTAGCTTACAAAGCATATTATTACTAGACATTGATTATACTTTTTAACTAACAACCCCTCACCTCCTCGTATTTCCAGAAAGAACGAAGGCGAGGCTCCAACATGCCCTACATGTTCCGACTCCCATTCGCCCAGGGTGGTGTATTTTCGGCGAATATGTTGGATCGATTGTTGTATCAGGTAAAACCTATAAAACTTGAATTTAACTTACCAATACCATAAAAATACGATAAAAATAATTTTAGTCCATCATCAAGCCCTATCTCGTCAGCTTGACGCGACTTTTCTTGGGAATTGATCAGAACCCGGGGAGTGGATACCTGGCTTCGGTAGCTTGATTTTTAGTAAGACGCTCATGCTCTACATTTGTAGTTTGTAATCACGGCTGATGACTTGTGGATCAAGACTTATGGGAGGTTATACCAAAAACTGTGTTCTTCCGTGGCTGATATCCCCATTGGCATCTTCAGGACGAAGAAGATGGATGCTACAACTGTAAGTATACGTAGAAAAAAAAACATACAACGTGGTGATTAAGCTAAAATATAAGCTACAAAAAACCGGAAGCGGCGAAAAGCAGTTTCCAGATCAAAAATAAATGCGAAATTTTGTTTTCTAGGTCTCGATCGATATCGAGGAACGCTGTCGCTCCCTGGACATCCCAAATACGCATCGATTCATGCGGAATGAGGTCCAGGATATGGTCAAAAATCGCATGAAGTATTTGGATATGAGCGTGGATAATACTGGTGCGTATTTCTTAACTTTTTACACCTCCCACGCCCTAAGAAATCCATAATTCCGAGTTTGTCGTAAAATATTTTCCAGTTTCTTGTGCAAAAACAATAGAATGAAGAAAAGGCAGCTAGCAGAGATTGTGGAGAATTCGCGACACCATGCCTAAAAACCCCTGATTTTTAGCCCTGGAACGCTACGAGGACAAAGAAACGATGATCTCCTACGTCCTGATAAACCCATCTCAAGACTTGGTGCTCGAGGCGGGGGATATTGTGTAAGTTTCATCATTTTTTTAGTTTGATTGATTTTGAATTTTTTATGAACAAGGCTCATCTTTTAGATATGTCATCCGAAGCCCGATAAGTGAAAATGCTCGTAACAAGAAGGTGAACCCAAGGCGAGGTTTGAGAAGATCCCGGCAAGTCACCGAAGCCAGTGAACCACCGCCGGGTTATGGATCGAATCAACAGATGCCGAGGATTGTGTAAGTTCATTAAACCGTAGCTTTTGATACCATAGACGCCCTCGAAACAGGAATATTTTAGAGAATTGAGCGATTTCGATCTTACGGAGTCTGGAATGGTAAAAAAAATGACAACCCCTGATTTCATTAATGGAACTCACTAACGAGAGAAAAATAAAGATAGTGGGTAAAAGAGAGAGCGAGAGAGCGAGAGAGAGAGCGAGAGAGAGAAACCCTTGATCCGGCTTTGATTTTGATGGCATCGAAGAAAAAATCAATGACGCGCGTCGGTCCAGATGTTCCCGCCGAAAGCTAAAAAGGCGCACTAATAGACCCTGATAAATCGCATGAGTCCCGGCCCAAAAAAATAAAACTTGGCGAATTAATTCATTTAATTTGCGCCCCAGATTTGATCAATCTAATTTTTGCTAAACCAATACTTTATTAAAATGACGATTTTAAAGCTATATCTATTTTCGCTTTTTTCAGAGTTCCATAAACAACCTGTGGTCAGTGCGGCCGTTCGACACGCATCTGACAAAGCGAGAACGAATTCGGATGGCCGGCCGCGGGTTGAGCGTTTGAGATTTGCATAATTCGATCAAGATTGCAGATGTTTTATTTGTAATATATATATTTCCACAATTTAAATACTTATGTGTGGTTTATGTAAATATTTGTACTCCAATTCAATTTTTTGTGCGATTTTGTAGTTTCTAGTCTAGCTTGCGCTATTTTCTAGTCGATCTTTAACGCCAAAAATATACCAAAATCAAAGCAACCCTCTGCGGCTAAATACTGGTACCCTGACCTCACTTTTGCAATTTTACAAATGTTGATTTTGCATTTTTATTTTTCCTGATGATTTTTTGTTTTGTTTCGCTGGTGATACGCTATTTCCGTTCGGCCAAAACCCAAATAAAACCAAATACTTTATCATATCCGCGTCGTTGCGCGGCTACACAACACACCGGCTATACACACAAAGAAAAAGCACATGAAAATTAGCATAAATGGTGAAAAATACAACAATACGGTACCCGAATTTTAATAAAAGGAAAATGGGGCAGGGGAGCGGGGGGGGAAAGTGAATTTTTCTTGCAGTTTACATCACAGTATTTCTATATGCAAATTTGGGGAGTTTTGGCGATTTTAAAGTGATGGTCACAGCTAATTTTACATTTCAATTTGCAGAAATCTGCTTAGAAATACGCAATTAAAGGCAAAGGGAAGGCGACAGCCAGCTTTTTTAGCCAAATTTTCAGATCCGGTTAGAATCGAAAACTTTTTTCACTGGGCTAAATTGTGGAGTCAGGGGGCCGAAAAATACCGTAACCGGGGAATAATATGAGAAATTGGAGCACCGGGTAGAAAAATACAAAATATAAAAATACCAAGAGTACAGAAAAACAAAAAAAAAATCAAATTAAGACCAATTTTTAAAGCGACGCCTCGAGAAAGCATTCAAATGTTGTGCCCGTATCGGGTAGAAAAACCAAAAAATGACAAATACAGGATGACAGTAGGCGGAATATTTACAAGAATTGCACCGGGGAGGGGGGGGGCTAACGCGCAAAATCTCAGGGTTACGGGACTGTACAAAAAAAAACGAAAAAAGGTAGAATCAACACGTTGAAAAAAAGGCAAATTTCACTAACAGTTAACCCGCCGAGCCGACCCGAGGGGTGGTTGGGAGCAGAAAAAATATATAGAAAAACTTGGCTGCTAGGGACTGGGTATACGGTAATACGGGGATATGGTAGTAATACGGTAACTTTAGTGCCTAATAGGAGAATGGCAGGGGTAGATCATTACGAATCCGTTACGATATGTAATTAAGGAGCCTCCTGGTGTTGCCGGATTTTAGGCTGCGGTTGCTTAAGTGGCTTAGGAAGCTTCAAAAGCTTAGGTGGCTTAAGAAGCTTCGGTGATTTCAGAAGCTTGGAAACCGGTCGGCTTCGCAAGCTTCAAAAGCTTAAGCCGCCTCCAAGTCCAAGTCCTTGTTGATCGCCGCAGCATATCTTGTCAACGTGTTGTCGGAGCCGTTGGAGCTTTGCGAGCGCTGGGACTGCGTTTCCGCTTCCGGGGACATACCCTGAAAAAGAAATTGTAGATTTGTGGACGTGAAAATCGTTCCCTTTGATGAAAAGTATTAATCGATAAATCTTATTTATTAGTAAAATATTGTGCTTCAAAATTGACAATACCGTTTCGAAACTTCAAATATCAAGGTCATCGTCCTAGAATTTTTAAAGTTAAAAACACCCAAATGCATATTTCGATATAAAACACCTTTTTCTAATTGTTATCGCTTAGCGCGTTTTGATGATATATACCGATATATGTTATAAATGATTATAATTAGGGGATCGTTGTCTTTGATTGTTCTCCTATCTCACCTGATTGGTTGCCCACGGTTCCCGGTCCGCGCTTCCCCAAAGGGTGAAGAAAAAGACTGGCAAGATGGCGACGACGGCAGAGATCAGGAACACAATCTTCCACTGGTCCGGCGTGCCTTCACTAAAACCCGGAAAGTAATCAGAATTGATGAGTTTTCAAAATAAAACTAATTTATTCGACCCATAAACCCAAAAATGCGATTTTAAGGTACGCATCGCTCCGTATTTGTAAGCGCAAAAAAGACCTACGTTAAAATAAAGTTGCTGAGCAGCTTATTCCCAATCGAGAACATGGCCACAACACCGAACGAGATTCCGGTCAACACGCCAGAGTATGCGGGAGCGATTTGAACGAGGGCTGTTTGCACGCCAGGGGTGTGAAGGCCTAAAGGTTGTAATTAGCATTGTAACGTACTAGAATTCTGCTAAAATATACCCTCATCATACCAAAGTATTGAACTTACCAGCAAAACCATTAGCTAGGCAGAGGAGGACGATGCAGAAAGCAGTCGAGTGGACGAACGGGGTGGCTCCGATGCAAATTCCGAGACCGAGCGAGGCTGAAAAGGAAGATTTGATTTTTACAAGATCTATGCTAGTTTGCCCTGACGAGAGAGCAAGCAAGAGAGTGAGCAGGAGTCTTAGCATAAGGGTGAGCAAGAACGAGCGAAAGAGAGGGAGAGTGAGAGAGACAGCCGACTCACCGATCAAGTTGAACATCTTGCAGCTGGTCGTCTTCGAAAGAATCGGAGGCTTTCTGGCAGTAAGCACCGAGGAAAGTGAGCTTGAGAGCGTTTTTGAGATCCACAAAATTCCGATAGGCAGCGCGGCAATGAGACCAGTGAGGCCGCTGGGAAGCTGAAGGACATCGCGAAGGTACATGGGGAGGAGCTAAAAAAGTGGAATAAAATTCTTATGCTCGTAAGATACACGGTATTTACAGTAAGCTACGTCATACAACAACGACAGTACGACACTGTACACCATACTAAGTACTACAGCGTACTACAGACCTGCTTTCCTTAAATTTTGGAACGCTATATTAGCTTTTCTTGCGTGTTTTAAGGTTTATATACCAACCTGAAGCATGATGACAAGCGGATACTCGTGACAAACGAGCGCAAAGATTCCGACGTACAACGCGCGGCACCTGGCGATTTTGCTCCACGGCGGACTGCCACGTTCTGTCCGTTTTCCGAGGCTCTCTTCTTCGATCTTGCGACTGATGTATTTTTGTTCGGCCTAAAAAGGGAACATTTATTTTTGGTCATTACGCATATTACTTCTTATTGGCTCCACAAATTTTTAAGGCCAAAACAGTTTTCATGTTCCTTCATTTTGAAGCGCTTTGGAAGGAATTCTTAGCCATTTCCAGACTCATTTTGTCAAATTGAACCCTGATCAGCTTCCGGGTGCATCCATACTAAAAAAGGAAAATCACTTGCTACCCGATGGCTCCCGAACGCTGCGATAAGAGCGCATTTTATTGTGATGTCTGCTGCCCACCCCCGAAAAAATGGCTAGGGCGCTAAAAACGGCCCGCACTATGAACCCGAAATTTTTGAGGGGTATTAACTCATTTTTTCTTGGGTTTTGATCAGTTTTAGGCGAAATCTTGGGCTGTTTCAAAGCCTATTCCTTAAAAGTCTCATGCTACTCACCTCCGATATGCAGAACTGTTTGCTCGGCTTATCGGCGGAGAGCACGAGCCAGATGACCAGGATGACACTCCCGATCCCGGCTGACAGGTAGAAGATGGCCGTCCAGCCGCCGAACTGGCCGCGCTGCTCGCAAAGGATACCGGCTAGCGGCATGATGAGGAGGGAGCCTGTAAAAGGGCGCATTCATAGGATTTAATGCGGGATATGGCGCTGTATGCCGCGTTACGGCATGCGTCGCGTATAGATTATGATTCGCGTCGAGTTTTATGCGAAAACCCACCAATCTGCCTTCCTCCGGTCACGAATCCAATAGCGAACGGTCTCTCCTTTGGTGGGAACCAGCGGGTGATGAGTGAAGTGGCTGATGGGAATAGGAAGGCATCTCCCATTCCGCAGACAACCCGGAACGCGAAGACAAGCCAGACCGAAGTGTGTGCCACTAAAACAACAGATTATAATTATTACAATGCCTATTACTATCTCAATACTGTACTGATCAATTAATTCTAATAGACGCTACGCCAGAGATAATCATAAACGAGAAGTTCAAGCAGTTCAGAAAGGCTAAAAGGCCTGCCATACTGATAACGTAGTTAGAGAGCGTAAAGTTCGAGGAATGCATAAGCTCGTAATTCTCACCTAGCGGAATCACGGCATTCGACACGACGATCAGGGTCAGCGCGACGCAGATGGTCCACTTGGAGTTGAGACGATCAGATAGAGTCCCGGACACCAACATCGCCAGGGAGCCGACGTTCTGGGCGGCGAAGACGAAACCTGAAACCAGAAAATTCGTATGAAAATTTTGAAGCTTTTGCGTTGTCTCCTACAGCTCGGAAAATGGCTTGTTCCCTTACCTTGCTCAAGTGGGGTCCAGCTCAAAAGGTTGGCCTGTGAGCAGTGAACCTTCTCGACGTCGTCACCGGCTTCGGAGGCACGTCTTTTTCTTGAAATTTCGTTTTTAATTGGTTTGAAAAACTGGTAAAATTTGACGAACTGCTGATTTATATAAATAAAGTATCATCAAACATTTCATTACCTCTCCATACAGGGAGTTTCCGTGACCGATCGTTCCGTTCGCGTCCAATTGACATCCCGCTTCATAGACGCCATCTCGTCGGTGTACTCACTTTCAGAAAGAGTTGAGGTTTTCCTAAAGTACTTATAAATAATTGTCTATATCATCATTGCTTCATAATTTTATTCTTACTGCATCTTTTTTGTATGTTGACTACGTTTCTAATGCTAACATCGTATATAACTACTTACTTAACCATACACGTCATCGAAACTCCAAGATTAGACGTGGAGACGGCAAGGGATACAAAGCATAGGCATAACAGAATTGCGATGAAGAACCGGCTGGAGGGGAAGATTTTGTGCTTGCCTTTTTCTGAAAAAAATTGTATATTGTTATTTCTTTATTTTTTTTATTACGCTATAATTTATTTAAATTTTACCGTAGCCTGAATTAGAAAATAATAAGCGACCAAAAATTTTACCCACCTGACGGACCCGTATC